ACGTAGAGAGTGAACAGACGGGGTTGATCAGAGCCCGATCTGGCCGCAGACCCAACTGTGGTATGCCGTCAGGGGCGGGGTAGTCCCAACCCCCCAGTGTTGCAGATCATGGAAGTACCACTGCGAGACGGGGACCTGCGTCGTGACTTCCATCCAGTTCCTTTGCGCTTCGTAGTCGCCGAACAGCGGGCCTCTGTGGTAGCCTGTACAGTTGCTGGTCAGCGATGGCTGCCCTCGTTGGGGAGGGGGAGGGGGAGGATCCGCGTCGGGGCGTGAAGGCGCCGAGCAGGCCAGCTTACCAGAGTAGCCCCAAAGACCAGCAGCCCACCTGAAGAGGCCGACAACCATGAGAATCAGAGGCAGGACCTCCCATTCGGAAGCGGAGCCACGCGCGGCCCACATGAACGAGGCCAGCGGGAACAGCGGCGCTTTGGCGACAGCATCGCCCTTGGTGGACGACGTGACGTGGACGATGGTCGTCTGGGACGAAGTAGGCGACGGCTTCTTAGGCCCCCTGCGGCGAGCCTTGTGCGGCAAAGAGCCAGTCATTGTCGCCGAGAGGAGGGAGGTAAAGACTGATTCGAGCTGGCATGAGGCGAGGGTGTCAGTCGCGTGCCTGTCGGTGAAACAAGCCCGGCGGATTGGCGGTGATGGTCTGTTCTGTTCTGCTGTTCTATTGTCCCGTGGGGAAGCCACGGCACCAGAGTTGACGACAACGTACTGGTCGTGGTCGGGTCCTCTGTGCCCAGCTCCCGGCCGTAGGTGCCCTTGGCGCCCAATTGGATCGCCATTAGTGGTCGGCTTAGTGCACAGAGCCCCTGGAGCTCCCCACTGTACAGCCGAACGTGAAGGGTGGGCCGGAAATTTGGGGGCACCGGTTGCTTATCGGAGCTTTTTCTTATCGTTCAGCATCTGGACCTCGTGTTGTTGCTCATGTTCGTGAGGCCTACAGACCAGGCCATGGGGCATCAAACACGTCGCATTGCAAGTTCTTCCAGAGACGACTCGGAGTCTTCGACTCAGAGTCTTCGACTCAATGGGAGATGGCCAGAGCGGTCCCCTATTTTATTTTCTCTTCGATCAAGCAAAACGTGAACCATCAGCAACCTCCGCGTCATGGGCACGTCTCCAGAGCCTGGGTCTACAGTATGCAAGACAGTCCCTCTCAAGGCGCAGGCACGGTCCGACATCATTGCTCTTGGCGCTGAATCTGAATCGTTCGAGTCGTTGAGATGAGCCGCGTTGGCGCTGGGGGAGCACAGAGCGGCATCAACATCTCACGACCACGCCATCAAATCCCACCTACGCGTGCCACCAGCTTCCTGGAGACGCTGCGTTCTTCAGGTTCTTCGGTTCTTTGGTTCTTCGACAGCATGCCGTTCCCCTTTGTTCTGCCCACGACCTCCTCCTTCTCCTTCTCCACCAGCTTCAGCTGTGAATCACACCCCTCGCTGCCCCTCACTGCGAGCACCTACCGCGGGGTCGTCCGCGATGGCCTCAAGAAACACAAGAGACTGCCGCCATCCGCCCAGTCTCCCCACATATCCTCGCTCATTACCGCCCTGAACGCCTACCTGCCCTATCTTTTTGCCATCGACGCAGGCCTCACACGAAAAGGCCCCCACGCTGCTGAGATCACCGTCAGCCAAACCGCTCCCCTTGCCATAGAATGGCGCCCAACTCTTTCTGACAGTCACGTCCCCGGACGTGAACCGCCCCGTGTCAAGGTCCAATCCCTTGACCACGAGGTCGCCTTTGTTCTCGCCACCCTCGCCCACGCCTACACCCTCGCCGGCCGCATCGCCTTGCAGCCACTCTACGTGATCTCGGTGGCAGCGCCCTCGGCCCAGGAACGGACCGTCGCCATCCAGACCGCCACAAAACACCTCCTAGAAGCAGCCTCGCTCTACGACCACGTCGCAACGCGCGCGGAAGGCTCCTCGAGCCCGGCCCCGAGCGTCGACATCTCGCCCCCCGTCCTCCGCGGCCTCGCCTCCCAGGCGCACGCCGAGGCCACCCTCCTCGCCGTCCTCAAGGACGACCCCTACCCCGCTGTCGTCTCGCAAACACGCAACGAGGCCGACAAAGAGTGGATGTACCGCACGCCCTCCCTGCCCAAGGTCCGCGCCCACCTCTTCGCCCGCCTCTCCCTCGCCGCCGCCGAGCACGCCTCCCAGGCCGCCACCCTTTTGCGGCACCCGCCTCCCCGGCGCCCCGCCCCTGAACCCCCGCCCTCCTCCGCTACCTCGACGACACCCGCCGCACCTCCCGCGCCCGCG